GATCGTCAAAGCCCTCTAGTTCCAAACGCAGCTTAGTTATATTTAATGCTTTCTCGGCTTGCAAAACAGGTTTCTTGTTCACTAATTCCATCTCGTCTAGTAACTCCTCTCTCTTTAACTTCGCTAACTTCAAGGCTGAAAAAGCACCGCTAGACCCAACTCTTCCTCTACTCCTACAGCTAACCTGTGTCCCAGAACATGAAACCGCATCACCAACAAGAGGGAAAAGCTTGACTTGCCGAGTTTCGTTGTCAGCTTCGCATAGCATCCTTTTTTATGACATGGTTCAGCACAGGAGACGGTTACTTTCGATTCAGATTCGAACCGTCGATGAACAGCTGATCAGCGCTGGTACTTCGAATAATGTATATCACTTCAAACGGAAGAATTCTGGCCTAGTCCTTGGACTCCCACAAAAGCCATTGAACAGAAGCAGCAACTACTCGAGGGAATTATCAATATTATCACGTGGTTGAGAAGGCAGTTTGACCAAACTGCTCTATTGCTTCGGGAGTAACAACTCGTAAACTGTGCGCAGCGTCTCAAAGAACTGTTTCAACTAATCGGTGATGTGCGGTGTTCAAAGTTCTGCCAAAGAATTCGTAAAACCACTTTTTATAATTGATATATCCACACTGGGTAGCGCAAAAGCGCTACTTCAATGAAAACAGCAGCTGCTAATTTAAAGACACAGATATGTGTTTCTCACCCGGCTTTGGGTGCTTGCTTTCAGTGGTGTGTGTATTTTGGAGTACAAAGCATTTATTGTACAAATATGGTATCAGCAATATTCGACGGTTGTGTATACTACAAACACAGAGAGCCTACCTACATAAACATGATAAGTCGAGTAGATTCCAATGGTTCTTCTCTGACGGACGTTGTACTGGTTCATGTACTCTAAGGTCCAAAGTCAGCATATTTCTTTGCAAAAGCAGTATTTTCGAGGTGAGGTCGGAGGCAAAAGTTGTGCACGATTAGGCAGCTGGAAGGCTCGAAACTCACCGGTGCGTTGGTTAGTATTTTATAAGTCCGAATTGTTTTTTGTTGGTACTTACCACTCGAAATACTGCATTCCCTGATCCGAAATGCACACCACAAACCCCCGAAACAATCACTGAATACATTTGTTCGAATCAAGTGTTTTGTCATTTCTGTCTTTACTGGTAGCCACCCACTGAAAAGCTTACTGCGCACTTCTAAAGCTTTCACCATGCTATCCACCACGCCAGCCATTCAAAAGGCAATGAGACTGAGTCTAGAGTTGAAGGGTAAGATGAACGAAGCCGTGTCGCTGTGACTACTACTGTGTACAGCAAGGATCTAAACACTATTCGTCTCTGACATCAGACGATATTCATCTGCTTATTGTCAGGATCTAGGATGTACCGCTTATACGGCTCCTGTATGACGTACAATTCAAGAAAGCTGGGCTCAGTGAATCAAATCAATCAGCAGCTAAGCACCTAGTGCAGAATTGAGCGACGCGCTAATCAGTAACTACCCAGTTCACTTTGGTTAAATCTTTTTCTGCCTGTTAGCAATCTATTCGTCACTGTATTTCCAACAGCTACTGTGCTCGGCCCAATAAAGCCGCAAGATGACCAAATGATGGAACATGAGCGAAAGATATGACAAAGAAGTATAGATAAATAGATAAATAATGATATATGGTTCAACTGGGCAAAACACACCAACTAGGTGTTCTTATTCTCTATAACGTAATCGGACGGTAGAGAAGGTTCTTTCCCTCTACAGTGTTTTTCTCAAAGGAGTTTTCGGAGTATTCTAACAGTTAAAAGCAATAAAAGTACGAAAAGCATTGAAAGTAAAGAGCAGTAATGCGTGCCGCCAGTTGAAGTAAGGTAATAAGACTATCCGTAGAACGGTCTCTTGTGGACTTGTTTTTATGCGGGGTAATCCCTCGAGATATTTCCTCCGCATTTCTACGCATTATCTCGCCGTGTGTTGTTGTGGCTTACTAATAAACTAACCCGCCTTCATACAGGCTTTTGTACGGCCCCTGTTGTAAGAAGATATGCCATCATTATGCCTGTGTTGCTGAACAGTGTATGCTGAACAGTACATAGCCCAACACCACATTAACTCATTCCGTGGTTACTGTCTTAGATGCAGAGGACCATCCAGTCATTTAGCCCGTTTCAACATAGGATTCATCTGCCGCCAGCATCATTTTTTCTCACCAATGGGTCTGTGGCAATTCGTTTTTCGTGGGTGAAATTTATTAGCTTGGAGGCCTCAATCCATCACCTCAGGTGATCAGCCTGTAGTAGCCAACCATGGAAAGGAAAAAACAAATAAATATGATGAGAACTACAATGTGCACATGCGATATGCTGCTCAAGAATGAAATGTAATCTGACAGTTGTCTGATTGATTTTGTAAAAGCACTCGAAAAGGACATGTAATTGTTCGAAGTTTTTTACTAATCAGGACAGCTCCTGGAAGACTTTCGAAGAGTTGCATCAGGTGAAGCCAACAGAAAAGAAGAGAAAGTAAAATCGAAGTGGATTTCGTGAAGTCGGGAAGACAGCAGGTTGTACCTGAGTTGTGGTATCTAGGAAACAATAAACGGCAGTCAGTAGGGCGAAACGAATGCAAAGAAATAAAACGGAGAAATGGAAGACAAACTTCCGCTTTGTTAACCTTAGGTAACCTTAGGATAACCTTAAATATAACCTTACCTTAACCTTGTTAAGGTAACCTTAACCTTAGGTATAACCTTAGGTAACCTTAACCTTGTTAACCTTAGGTATAATGTTTCGCGGACAATTCCTGTCAGTAGACATAATAACTTGTTTCACTGTCAATTGTGAGTAAATCAGTTGTGTCGGACGACAAAAGAGGAAACCGGGCATCTAAACTACACTCATCTAGCTACGATTTCACAAAAACAATTATTTGTGACATTTGGTCTCATTATACAAATAGCTGTTTCAAACTTGAGACATAAATGCATAACATTTCAAATTTTTCTCCCTGACTGAATTCTACAGATCACACTATGTGGTCTGTTCCATAATATGGAGTACTGATGAAGAAGAAACGGATAGGACTGCTTGGTTCTTGAACTTTTCACCAATAATTTGATGTTCTTGTTGTTTCTGGTGTGATACTTTGCCGGTTCTGTTATCCTTATTGCAGGACTTCATGAATATGTTTTTGGTAAGGGCCTCAAAGAAGACGATTAGGTTAAGTTACATTCGTCGTAGCCATAATGGATCACGTTGTGAGGAGATTCATCGATCCATACATGCTAATGTGATGGAATAGCCCAAAAGACTTTTAGTGCATGACTGTTGCACTCTCTCCAATACTACATGATCACCCGCTCTAGAATTGCAGTATATTATAGAGCGGGAGAATCTAATAATGAACGTATTTGTGTTTTGTACGTGGCATTAATTGGTTCCCTCAAAAGGTATGTTTTGAATAGACATCCGATGTTCCGACGAGCCTGAGCTGAAGTATGTCCAGCGCAATCAGCATAGTTTAGTATGTTCGAGTAGTGTTATCCCTTGGTCACGGATAGTATGGCAGTGAGACAGTGGTTTGCCGTCAATAGTAAGAGAACCAAGTGCGATTTCACACCTGTAGTATACTACGGGACATTTGCAAACGAAGAATGACATTTTCCACCTGGAACCTCATGATTTATGTTGCATTTCGTTGAGAATATCACTACTACCTATGGGAGTTAAGTCAACTAATGTTTATGTCATCGGCGGATAGAAATGTTTAGCGGAAGATAAAGACGTCAAGAATGTCATTCACATAGAGTAGGAATAATACTGAGCTTAGAACCATGTCTTTTAACACATGACTAGTTATTGGCTTATGTGTACTTGTTTCATTTCGAACCTGGACAAACTGGGTTCTGCTCGTGAGATGTGAATCGAACCATGACAGTAGAGGGCTGTCCATGCTACGTTCAGTTAGTTTGAATAATAGGCAAGCGTACGGAACGCTACCAAACGCTTATTTGTTGTCAAGGTAAACGAATATACCTGACGAATTGTAGTCAAGCGAACTAATCAAAAGATAAGGAATGTCACTCAAATGCATTATGCAGAATTGTGAGCTTAGGAAGCCGTGCTGTGAGGCGTTCCTAAGATGTTGCGTCATCAAAAGTCAACCGTTTTTGATTTTATATGACGTTCATTCATTTTGGAGAGCATATAATTGTGACTGATTAGACGATATTTGTTTGTTTCGTGTACAGAACCTGAGATGTAAGTGGACAACTACAGCATTCTTCCACTGTGCTGGCCCAATACCGGCTTTGGTATGTAGGGAAAAAGCTTTAACATTAGTATGTGAACAGCGAAGTTTCAGTTTTTGTTAAGATTAGCAGTAATTTGTCGGAGACAGTATACCAAGAAAAGTTAGGCGAGGGATTAAGTCGATAAGTGTCACGGAGCTCCAACTATACTCTGGAGAGCTTATCATCAGTAAGCAGAGAGAGGATTTGCGCAGGAAACTCATTAGTGGCGTTAAAGGTGGCACAAAAATAGTTGTTAAAAGCGCTGCCTGTATAAGTCGATCACTTGTTATTTGATTACCAGCAATCAAAGTGTTGGGGTCCCTGTGGTTTTGTTGCCGCTTTTCATCAGTTTCATCAGTTTGCTGTTTAGATTATAGGCGTTGAACTCGTACCTTTATCCAGTTCTGCGCTGTGTCGCTTAAATTGGTCGAGTTCAGCGATGATATTTCGTTATTACAATATTACGGAGTAGTCTTCGTTTTCCAGGAGTCCCTACGAAGCCGCAAGAGTTTGTCGGTGAAGTTATCGGGGCAGGATATTTATTTTACTTTACAAGCAAAGCTCCGACCCATAAATAAGACTAGGATGTCCGGAAAATATTTTGATATTCTTGTAGAACTAATCAGCAGACAATTGTACGTCATTTGTTAGGAAGAACTTGTCCCAATGCATAGATCTTCGTAGGGTAGGAAACAATTTAAAAATAGAGCATGGTATGGTCTGTTTAGAACTGCAGATTGAATTGGGGCAGGATCAGAGTACTGCCTTTCGAATGCGAGTTGAACCATTTTGTGATCATTCCCAGGGAATTTTATCTAGAATAACAACAGAAGATTTGTATGAGCTTAGCGTAATTAAAAAGTCAAGGACGTGGTTACCTCTGGTGTGAGAATGAGCATGTTGCGGATATCCAAGCATATGGAACAATGACACTAAGCTCGAATCTTCCATCAGGTGCTGTGCACGATGGCTTTGCAATATCAGGCTTATTGTAATCCCCTCCAAGTGCTTTATAGTCGATGGAAGGTTTTGTTAACTAGAAAAGCAAATGCTCCAAGTTATTTTGGGCCGTTCGCACTGTGATTGGGATGGGAACAGATAAAACGCAAAAGCGCTCAATTGCATTTTAAAGCGATAATTACAAGTATATTGTCAAGGTGGTTGTCTTTAGGAAGATTTCAATCCATCTTGACAGTACGCAAGACAGCAGTTGCATAAGTAACTAACAGCAACCTCTGCTAGAACGTCTTCCAGCCAGATGAAACCGCGGAATGTTCGCATCTTATTAAGACGGATATGCATTCCTTTTTAAAACAACTTTCTTCAGTTTCAGCACTCGCAAACTGATGTCGTTCTGTCCTGCATCACGGTTACTTAGAATGAATGTCATCAGTGCATCAATTAATTTTGTTTTCTTCCACAGAACTTTACCACTCTCACCCGTCGGAAGTCCTCCGCTTATTTCTGAATCTTAACTATGACCTTTGGCTTCTTTACACTTTCTATCATTTCAGATTCAGTTACTAATTACTACTGTTTAGGTTCTTTTGACCATGTGCACCAATTCAAATAGACTGGCTGTGTATTGTGCTACTGCTGATTTGGCCATTGAAAATTGATCTAAAAGTAAACGAAATTATAATTTACGGCAATCATTTGTCAGACTTAACCTGAGAGAGATAAGTGTGCAACATCCGCGGTTCATCTTCATCCAACAGTTTTCTCTCTACGGTAACCAACTAGTTGATTGTGATGCATGCAACAGTTGCGGTAGTACTGATCCATGTAAACAATTGACCTGGTCAGTTTGATTTCGCCTTATGAGGTCTGGGCATACAGTGTCAACAAGTGTTCACCTTAGGCTACCAAACACCTGGCAAAGCAGTGTAAACAAATTACTCTTTTCACCTACATCCTGTCACCTGTTACCTACTGCCGCACCTGCAGCAGTCTCCATGTTCTTTGTGATTGAATAGCCAGATTGACTACACCAGAGTGCACGTTGGATCAACAATCACCATGACAGATACAATAGCACGATGAATAAAAGATTTGATTATTTTAGCGACTACTTTACCATCATTTATATATGAATTACACAGACGACGAATTAGCAACAGACTGCTTTTTCATGCCCTTTTCGCATTCCTAGTTGAGCATGTCTATAGAGCGGAAGCACTTTGCTAAAATGCCTTTAGTGACTAAATCCGGCTTGTAAAGGATTACGATTCCAATAAGTTGCTACGAGAGTTCAAATGGGAAATAGTTAAGAGAGTTAAAATGTATGAAAGTTTCTGGGATCCTTTTGTATTTTGTGCACTACATCCACCAAAGTCCCTGGAAGCGAAACTCAGGATATCAATTAGGTTTTTAGTATACTTGTCTAAGGAGTGACCTATGCTCAGCCTCTCACTAATTATTTGATTTCCGTTTCTGCAACTTCATCGTAGACCCAATCATTTAATTGTTGTTGGAATGTCCTCCGAGGTGGCTGCCTGTCGTGAATGTTCCTACTTACTAAAGTTCTAGCACCACTAGTGACGTAGCATATGAACCGCCGCCCTCCTTGACTGGATGCCTTGTGAGGGTTGTTTCCCAGAGAATTATCTACTGAAAATGAAGAAAATATTCCAATCAATTCCCACTTCTTTGACTGGGTAACAGAACACAGATGCGCTGCGTTTTTCGTGACAAGGTTCCGAACACTTACTGGTCACAGTCTACCTAAAATTGTTTCTTGCACAAATTTAATTCGAATGCTGAACCTCAACAAGCCCACAGTTTTTGTTTCTTCACATCTGAATGCCGAGTTGCAAAAACTTGTGCATCTGCACGTACGTTCACTGAACATGTTAGTAGAGAGCACTGTCCGTTACACTGTCTGTTACATAGATTACATGTGTGGTTTCTTTGGCAGCGTGAAGTTAACTCAATAGAGAGAAGGAGGATGCCGACTAGGAGAAGGCGTTTCAGGTTGGCATGGTTATTGGTATGTATTGACTTACGTCTCTGTAACTCGACGCCTGTAACGCTTTGGCATGTAGTTTGTCATCGTGTAGGGTTGTATTGAAGTCTCTATACACGGTGTTCTCAGATAATAGAATGTTAGTTCTATACTCAACACAATATTCACAGAGAGTAAGGGCGAATAGATGAGCAGTGGCATAGCAACTACATTTGCCGCCCGGGGCGGATGTAAAAGTTTCGTACCCCCCACGGGGGGTAGTAAATGAGTAAACCTTCAACGTCGGCTCAGCGTGAAGTGTACACTGGTTTTCGATGAAATGGATAAGCCTTTGAGACATTTAAGTAAATTAGGTGAAAGTGACCACGATGAGACAAGTGAGGGGATCACTGGGAAGAAAGTTTGCACAGGTGCGATAAATGGTACGAAGGTGTTGTTGGTCATACGAAGTAATATTTAAGTATTCAACTCTCAGCATATCTGGAATATTTGCCCTATATATTGATATTGGAAAAACAACGGTGCTAAAAGTGCCGCCCCCCTACCCCTCCCACCCAGGACGGAGGCCCCCCTATGCTAGGCCTCCGTTGAGGAATAATCTGGGAAAACCGGGATCCGGTTTCCGGAACCGTGTGATTTAGTTTTGTCGACTGTCATAGTTAGGCATGACCAAGCATTTTCAAATACGCTGCAATGCATGGAGTAATTCAATGGAGCAAAGGAGCGATGGTTTACGGTGGATATACAAGCGAATGCTTGACATATCCCCATAGGATGTAGAAGGTAAAAATCCTATGATAAAGTATCGTGTCAATAAACCAACTTTGAAATACATGACTCACCAAGGGGTTCGGAGTAGCACATAAGCAAGTATTCCTGCTTGGATTATTTGAGGGTTATAATGCCGTCCACTGTTTGTTTTGCACTAATGCCATCATCTAATGGTAACGGGCTATATCACATAGTGTAAATGTGTCAGAGTATCGTCAAGGAGTTTGTTGAAAAGGGATAAGTTGGTTGCATTAATTACATATGTCAGGAGGGTGTTCCATGGATGTGTCAATCCGAGAGAAAAGAAGTTTCGCCGACATTCCAGCCGGCTGCACTGTTTGACCAGATTAAACTGCTGTCCCTTTAGAGATGTGTGTTGACTGAGTTTCAAAAGATTAGGGTATGTGTATTTAAAGTGTCATAGAATCCGATACACCAGTATGTGATCGCCTCATTGACGCCCGTAACGTCCACTATGTATTTTGAGGGCTTATAGACTGAGTGCATGGGAAAGCGGCACAAACCTCTAAAGTTTAATGTCGGCCTGCGCTTTGCGATTTTAAGTGTGAGGTGGTGTTTCTGCCAGAGATGCGAAGCTTGAATAGCGTCTTCCGTGTACGGCCTTACTTACGTGCCACGCATTTTCGGTAAGACTGCGACGTCAAACTTCCCGAAAGCTCTAGGAAGAATGCCGAAGTGCTGGTTTGCTTTCTTAAATGCATTTTCAGTTTGCCTCAAACAATCGAAGTCCTATTTCACAAGCACACCAAGATCGCACTGATGAGAAGCCCGATGTCGACGTTATGGTCATAGGCGGTAGTTTTCAACAACGTGATGGCCTATGGTGAAACTATGTAATTCTAGTGTTGAAATGTAGCATTTTCTCGATGGACCATGTTTACACTTTGTCCAGATCATCTCGTATGGCTGTGTGATCCTCCACTGTGGCAATAGTGCGTCATCATGTCAGAGAATCTGCATATAGCTAACAGTTTGAAGACAGCACAGTTGCAAGATCTTGTATGAAAGCCGAGAACAGGGGGAGCCCGAGTACCGAGCCCTGAGGTACGACGTACTTATTTTTTATTGGGTCCGAGCGGGTGCTGCGAACCCGCACATTCAGGTGATGTTGAACGAGAAAGTCCCCTATCCATCCTAGAACGGGATCGCCGATACCATAATTCTGGAGTTTGTGCGGTAGAATGCGATGGTCCAGGCGGTCGAATCCTCTTGAGAATTCCAGGTAGGATGCATGCACTCCTACATCGGCGTCCACAGATTCCGTCCAGCTTGCACGAGCTGTCAACTGATTAGTGGTGCAGAACGGATTTTGTCGAAATCGGTGCGGCTTCAGAACGAGGATTTTGTTATTCTCCAGGTCTCCATGAGCACCTCAGCTACAATGGAACCCATGATCGTGGAAATCACTGGAAGACGTGTAGTCGGGCGACAATTCGTTGGTGCTGTATTGCTAAACTATTTACAGATTTGCGGGATAATCCCGTGATTCCACATCTTGGGGACGTTCACCTAATTAAGGCTTCGCTGATAGTGTTTCTAACGGTTCAGCTAAGCTCATAGCGACAGATTTCATCGCCTTCGAGCAAATGCCGTCCGCACCTGGGGACCTGTATTCGCTCAAGGACATCAGTCGTTTTAATACAGCTGCCGTTGTGAAAGCTGTGGTTTAGGTCTGATGTCCGCATGAGCTGCGTAGGAATGGTGTAGGATGGCTGCATACTGTTGGAGGTACGACTGAATTGTTGTCCAAGAAATTTGGCCGTCTCTTGTACCGTTTTTGCCAACCCGCATTCTGTGTGCAGAGCAGGCGAATTTCGTTTACGTGTCTGAATAACAGCTTCGGGTGGGAGCAAAATGTTGCCACATTGTCTTGTTGGTGCTTTACTTTATCCTCTCGGACGGGTTTGACACAGTGGTTCCGTTGTGTTGTATAGAAGCCCCAAGGAGAGAGGCTATGTGGGCTTGCTATGCCAAGTCCCCCAGTGTTGTGCATTTTCGCATCCTGTCCCTTAGGAACGACTTCATCTTTCTGGGTTGGGGGATTTTGGTTTCAGATCCAGTTGGCACGATCCTGTTGAATCTATTGACAATTCTTCTGCCACCTTAGAGGACCACTCAGTTAGGAA